CGCTCTGTAACACCCCCTCCCACGTAGGCAGCCTTTGCTCTCCCTCCTTCATAATTCTCTGTATTTCTTCTCTTTCAGCTTTAGAAAGTAGCGGACCCTTCAGAAAACACGTGCGGAGGACAACAGCAACAAGATCTTTTCCACAGGTATGTAAATCTGCTTCACGCTTTTCAAATTATAGACCTTTCACCTATTTCCTACCCTTCAACATCAGGGTACATACCTGTCATCTCCTGATACATATCCAACATTACCTTTCATATCGTCCTATCACATTAATATCAGGTCAATATGTGTATCTTCTGTTCCTGCTATGTATAAATTCTGGACTTTCATGTCCTCTAAGTACATTGAGACCTCACAGCCTAACTCTCAAACTTCAGAACCAATACTACTTTCTACTTTTTGTTCAAAGACATTGATTATAGTAGACTGATTTTAGCATGTTTACATGTGGTTGCCTTCAAAGAACCTATATCCTTCTTCTTGGCATCTGTTTGCCATTTTTACTTTGTTTGTCGTGTTACATTTGAACAGTTGTATAAAATATGAGCTCTTGATACACACTGTATAGATATTTGCTCATATACCTCCTTCTAAAATGCTCATAGACTTAGTGTTTGAACTAAAATGTAATCATTTTATGAGAAAAACACTGGCTGCCATCACATTTCGGTGGATGAGAGGTAGGGCTGCATAATTTGTTGGTTCTTTGGCAATAACAGATACTGTAATAAGAACGGTGCACTTGATGTCACTGGATTGAGGAGGCTTCAGGTGCTGTTTGGTTTATTTGTTTAAGAAACTGATGGTTTTTCACTTGCCTAAGTGTCAGACCTTTTAAAGGCCAATTTAATTCCGAAACAGTTTGTATTCAAAGTTAAGCATCCAGATGATGGAGTGATTTGAGAATATAATTAGAATCTGCTTCTCGGATGACTAGCTGATACGGGGAGTGTGCTCTAAATGAGGGGATGGGGGTGGGTAAGGATTAGAAGTTGTCCATGCAACATGATACTAGTAATGAGTGGAGACTATGTCAATATAGTAGTGGGATGATTTTTTTGAAAGGGACATCACATGTGGGATCTTGCCTGTCACTGTTCCATGTAACTGTGACAGTACAAATGTCATATATATATGCAGGAGGTATTTGTTGGTAGGCAGCTGGAATTGGGGATATTTCTGCAATCTACCGCTGGCAAAGAGAGACATCTGTTTATGATCTACTGTATGTCAGGCTTAAGAAGTATATGGAATACACAGCTAGCAGTAGTCGTGACACTGAATATGCTCAGGATATCTGTGTGAAATGTATGGCTAGCATTAGAGGGACGGGTGCAAAAGTATATATGCAAAGTCTTGCTCAACTGAAGATTCATAGACTAATTTATACAACAAATTATCATAAGTATAGCTAAATTGTTTAATACGTACTAATTGATGTATGCTATGTTTAATATGACGACAATGGACCTGTCCTAGTTTTGATAATGTTATGTTGATTATGTTATGTTGATTTATTTTTGTAAAAAAAAGTTATCGGTCGCTTTTTAGGAAAAAAACATATTACAGCTACCTCTTAAGAAAAACCTGTACTGAGAGAAAAAAGAAAGCCCCCGAAGCCGACCTCTTTTTGAAATCCTAGTTGGCTGGCTGCCTCTGGTATCAATATATTAGGTAACTGACCAACAATGTGTATTCAGCAAACTGAAGTCCGAACACCTGATCTGCATATTGGTTCCATGGCCTATAAAATATTCCAGAGCATCTGCTGGTGGTACTGTGGTCTCAGAGCCTGAAGAGCGTAGTTCCAGCATCCACAGAAGGTGTCTCCCAACAGCCAGAGGGTATTTAGTATTTAGTCCCACCTCTGGAGTCTAAAGGTGCCCATAAACCTTACAATAATCTTTCGAAAAACATAAGCAATCCGTTTTTTGTGCGACAATCGGCCAATTGATGGGAAGTGCACGGTCGCAATTACTGTACAACTGGCTGAATTTGGTTGAATGGACAGACTAGAAAACTTTTGTCGAAACGGACGAAAATCAATGGATTAGTGGCGTTTTTGTACAACAAAAATCGCAATATGAATACTGCACATGCGCAAACAAAACTCTGTTCTGTTGATCAACAAAATTAAGCCAGTTAGTATTACTTATGACGGATTATTGAAATCTACATTGGTCTGTGCATGATGGGCTATTTGTGCAAATGTTGGAACGAGGGTGCGATGACGGGACAAATAAAATTGACAGACAATTGTAAGGTGTATGGCCACCTTTACAGTGTTAGGACACCATGTGCGGGTATCCCGCAGAGCAAATGTGACCACATATGTGAGGATACACAAAGAGGGTCAGACAAAAAACTAGGTGAAGTAATAAGATTTAATATAAATGCACACAAGTGAAAACAAAACAACATAAACACAGCAGGGTCAAGTGAAGCATACAAAGAACAGCAGGTAAGATGGGTCAAGAACAGGGATCAGCTACACAGAAGCAAGTACAGCTCCAGGATCAGGAAGACAGGGATCAGTTACCTAGAAGCAGGTACAGGCATCAGGATCAGAGAATGGGGATCAGGTATGGGCAGCAGGATCAGAGAATGGGCATCAGGTACGGGCAGCAGGATCAGAGAATGGGGATCAGCTACAGGCAGCAGGATCAGGAGGACAGGGATCAGGTACCTGGAAGCAATATCAGAAAATTGGTATCGGATACACGGGGAGCAAGTACAGGCAGCATGATTCTGGAGGACAGGGATAAAGTACCTGGAAGCAAGTACAGGCAGCAGGATCAGAGAACGAGGATCAGGTACAGGCAGCAGGATCAGGAGGACCAGGATCAGGTACCTGGAAGCAGTATCAGAAAATGGGAATTCGGTACACAGGGGAGCAGGAACAGGCAGCAGGATCAGGAGGATGGGGATCAGGTACCTGGAAGAAGTATCGGAGAATGGGAATCAGGTACATGCGGAGCAAGTACAGGCAGCAGGATCAGGAGGATGGGGAATCCGGTACCTGGAAGCAGGATCAGAGAATGCAGAGCAGGTACATGGGGAGCAGGTGCAGGATCAGGAGGATAGGGAGCAGGAACAGGCGGCAGGATCAGAGAATGGGGTTCAAGTTCCCAGAAAGCAGGTACAGGTATCAGGATCAAGAGAATCAGGTTCCTGGAAACGGGGACAGGTAGCAGGATCAGGAAATGGAGGTCAGATACACAAGGAGCAGGTACAGGCAGCAGATCAGAGAATGATGATCTGGTAGAGCTGATGGATACTGGAACTACTACAGGGACCACAGTGCTACTAGCAGGTGCTCTAGCTTCTAAAAGTATTGAAACCAGACAACCAGCATGAAAGCCAGTTAACTAGATTTTTTCATAAAGGCAAAGCAGCAATGATCTGTAAGTACAGGTTTCCTTTTATGTCTATCTGGCAGGACTAAAACCTAGGGACCTAGGAACAGCTATTGATAGTCTCTTTATTTCCAATTCAGTAGGTACTTGTATACTAACACATATTGTATTATAATTTTACTGACACAGAATATGGTGGCATTTGTTATATAAACCTACGAGGAGTCACATTTCTGTAGTTTAATTAGTGAACTGAGTAGAAAAAAATAACATGGCAGCTGCTGAAGGAGAAGGTGCCCCTTTTCCTTTGCTGCTAAGCACAGGCCTGCTATTGAGACCAGAGCCTGCCTGTACATGGATATTATTCAAGATATACAGTATACAGCAGTCCACTAGAATAAATACCACTCAGTCCTCTCCTCCAGTATGAATTACCTCTTGTCCTGAAAGTTCACAAAATGACCTAATTCTGTGTGAGAACGTATCTGGATACGCATCTGACCTAACCTTATTAGTGGATTTTCAATCAATTTTAAATTGATATGACAAGTCAAGCCTATGCACTGTGCACGTTTTTGAGGCAGACTGTTACTATGTGATGATTTCAAGGTTTTGATATATACGGCCTCATCTCTGGTCATATACAAACCTGTACTACTGCTGTGTTGTTTTGTTCAATCATTTTTCACTGACCTATGGTAATTCCAACTCTGATAGGTGCCTGCTAGTGCAGCCTAATTTAGTGCTTGCAACGAATACCTAACACATTTACTCTGTTAAAAAATTAACAGATCCTTATGAGAGAATACCAGTTTGTATCACACATTCCTTATCTAAAAATGTGGCTCACAATTCATTTTATATAAGAGATACTTTACTTGCAGTGAACTGTGGATAGGTGCTACAAAAGACTGGGGCAATGTTACATCCATTAATTTCTATTTGTATACTGAATATTATGATTTGTCTATGATCTGTGTTTACTGTTAGTTCAAATGTATGCAGAGCTGTGTAAGAAACTATCTACACACAGCACAATCTCACTGCTGTATCCTGGAACACTAGTAATTCTTAAAGATCTGAAGTATGTTCTGGTTATCATGACTTGGGATAGGTACACAAACAATGATATTCAAGTAAATAGTGGCACAAAAGAAATAACAATGTTCATTTAGTAATGTTTAGCATAGATGGAGAAATCGAAATTTTTATAGCTAGCTTAACTGTAGACCATTTACTTTAAAGTACAATACAGTCAAAATTAAAAATTAAACATAAAGATGCATAGAACACCTGGTGAATAGTTCAGTTTTTTATCCAAACAATGCTATGCTGCACCAGTACAGTCTACTCTACTCCCTTTGGTTTGCCATCTTGTGGTACTGGACTATTCTTGCTGGTGATACATTAAGAAGTACACTTCTACATGCCTGTGCTTATTATTTACCGGATTATGCAGAACTCAAATTAAGGTAAATTTACTGACTTTGGGCATAGTAGCTCACTAAAAGCTTTCCTTGTTCCCTGACATTGCTGTTGTGGTTAAAGTGTGTATAAATAAAAAAAATCAACGTTCCAGTATGTTTGGCATAATGCCACACTGCATACATTTTTCTTAAAGGTTAATTTTACCTTTTGGAGCATGTTTCATGTGACACCAATATTCAGCATATAACATGAAAAATGGTCACACGAAAACTGCCTATACCCTTCTCCCACCCACCCCGCAGGTTGCTGCTCATTTCTTAATTTAGTGCTGCTGTATATGGCTCCACCAACACATT